CTGGCTGGGGAATTCTGGGAGTTGAAGTCCACCCATCTTAAAGTGGTCAAGGTTGAGAAACCCTGGTGTGAATCCTGGCAATTGGAATACATTTGTTATGTCTTCGCTTTGAACACCTTCACAATATTTCTCCAAAGAAGGCAACATTTTCTTCTTTTTTTTCAAGGAAATAAACAATATAGACAGCAGATGTTAGCCTACAAACCTCTTGGAAATACCTTCCATGTAGGTACCCAATCCCTCATGCATACAGATAGGGGGGGTAATCGTTTTATTTTTTAAAAGACTCTTCTTTTAAAAAACACAACCCCAACCTGGATGGCTCAGCTAGCAGCAACGTAAATAGGAATGCCCTACTATTGTTAAATCCAGATCTAGAATGATCCCTTCGATATTCTTTTTAATTGGATTAATATGGATTTTTCTGGCTTATAGCAGCCAGCAAGGAGAAAGTAGAGGCTTCTCCCCTTTTCTGGCTGGTGGAACCTTGAAGCAGATGGAGGTAGAGAATTTAAGCAGCCGACTTTGCTGAGAGTAAATCCCACTGGATGGAATGAGATTCCTGGGTAAAGATGAATTGGATGGGGACCGTATATCCTGCGTAGGCTTCACCCCCCGCATGTTTAAGTGCAATGCTACAAGTTAAAGGCCCACAAACCATAGGAAAAAGGGAATAATGGAAGTTTTTCAGCTACGGGCGCAAACAAAGGCACGCAATCAAGATTACCGAGGCTCAATCGGTTCAGTGGAACTTAATTTTGGAATAAATGTGCTTTTAACAGTGCTGCCTTGGCAGATCAGCGCAGCCCCGAACCCTCACTAGAGTGCTTCAGTAGTTGGTTTATGGTGACCCACAGGCTGGGGACTCTTGCTCCCTCCACGAAGCTGGAGTAAACGCCACGCCCGGCAGACTGAGGATGCTGGTTCCTACAGCACAGGAAGTAAGCTGCAGGAGTTTCTGTGCCTTGTTTAGCTGTTCCTCGCGGGCAAGAAGGAGGCAGTGGACATCAGTCTGCACCCACCACCCAGTGAGGTTCACTTAGTACAGCGGCGTATTTCCATCCTTGTAGGTGCCATCAGATAACAGAAGAAGAGCAGCCAGCCTCCACCATCAATGACCTATCCTACTCAAATTGCAGCTCGCATAATTTTCAAAAGGGTTAAAAGTTCCATAAGGGACAGATTGAGGAAGGAGCGGCCGGAATAAATTAAATAAACCAAATTCCCCTAAAGTCACCCATGTGGAAAGAAGAAGGAAAAGCTTCAGGCCACGCTGAATCACCGCAGGGAAGAACCCTCTCTTCCCCGCGGACAGACCGAAAGCGATAAGGCAGCGGTGCCCGTCCAGGAGTAGATCCAGGAGGGACGTCTGTTGGCCAGAAGAGGGGTGAGTTTTCCCACGCGTTCCCCCGGGGAGAAATAGAGGAAAAAGGAAGGCTGAAGAAGAACGCTGGAGTATTTGTGCCCGTATTGAGAGGAAAAGAGAGAGAGGAAAATGACTTAAAAAAAAAAAGGGGGAGCAACAGAAATCAGTGGATTGGTTGAAATTAACAATAAAATAAAAATAGGGGTTAAAACGGAACAGAATCACAACTGGAAATTGAGCCTAGAAATGAAAGCTAACGTGGAGCAGAAGTATGGGAGAGTGCTCGAAAACATGTGCAGCAATATTTGACTAATTAAGAAAAACAGTGATCGAGCACGCGTCCCATGATGTTCAAATGAAAGTAAGGTTGTAAGGGCCGCTAGGCCAAATCTGGCCTCAACCCACGTTTGGCAACCGCCCCCTTCCCATTTCTCCCGGCGGACTGCTTTTCCCCGCAAGTTTTAAGTCGTTCTTTGCAACCTCTGGCTGATGTTTATGCCATTTCAGGAGCAGGACTCTCTCTTCCGAATGGAAAACGCCTCCCTCTCGCCCTTCCCGACCCACTTCACCCCGGGGCCTGAGAAGGTCACGCCTTCGGCCCCGGACCGCTACCTGGGCATTCAAAAGAGCCTGCACCTTCTCTCCATCGTGGTCTACGGGGTGGCGTGTCTCCTCGGGGTGACCGGGAACGGCCTGGTCATCTGGGTCGCCAGCTTCAGGATGGAGAAGACGGTGAACGTGGTCTGGTTCCTCAACCTGGCGCTCGCCGACTTCGTCTTCACCCTGTTCCTGCCCCTGAGCATTGCCTACACGGCGCTGGGCTTCCACTGGCCTTTTGGGAAGTTCCTCTGCAAGTTCAACAGCAGCCTTGCCTTCCTCAACATGTTCGCCAGCGTCTTCCTCTTGACCGTCATCAGCCTGGACCGGTGGGTCTTGGTGACCCACCCGGTGTGGTCCAGGAACCACCGGACCCCCAGTCTGGCTTGGGGCATCGCGCTGCTCACCTGGGCGGCCGCACTGATCCTCAGCTGCCCGTACTTCCTGTTCCGAGACACGGCCGTCGGCGCCAGGAACGTCACCAGCTGCTACAATAACTTTGCCCTCTCCAGCAATTACACCAGCGAGGAAAGCCGGATGCTCTGGCGGAGGAGGCACAGAGCCATGATCGTGGCCCGATTCCTGTTCGGGTTCCTCCTCCCCTTCACGGTGATCGTGGTCTGCCACAGCGTCGTGGCCTTCCAGATGCAGCGCAGGCGTCTCGCCAAGTCCCCCAAGCCCGTCCGGATCATCGTGGCCGTCACGGCCTCCTTCTTCCTCTGCTACTCCCCCTACCACGTCCTTTCCCTGCTGGAGATGTCCAAGATGTCCGGCAGCCCAGCGGTCAAGACGGCGCTGCACCTGGGCGTCCCGCTGGCCTCCAGCCTGGCCTTCTTCAACAGCTGCCTCAACCCCCTGCTCTACGTCTTCGTGGGGCAGAAGAGCTTCCGGCGGTCCGTCCGGGGCGCCTTTGAGGGGGCCTTTGGGGAGGACTCCATCCTGTCCTGGTCCGGCAAGCGAAAGCCGAGGGCCGCCTCCCAGGCAGAGCCACATGGCATAGCCCGCAAAGCCGGCGTGACAGGTGGTGATGGTGATGATGGTGACGATGGTGCATGAAGGAAGGGTCCTCCCCGCGCTCTATCCATGTCCGCTTCCCGGTCCAGGCGAGCGCCAGCGGGACCCAGCTGTTCTCGGTGCCAAGGGTTGGAGCCACAGGCCGACCTCCGATTGGCCCCCCCAGGCGGAAGCCCCCTCCCGGGCCCCTTCCCGCCCTCTGCCCATGCCCAGAGAACACTTCTGACTTTGTGCGCGAGCTGGTGGCAATAAAGTTACTCTGTCCCAACGCAAGTCCGACTGTGGTGATGGTCCCGCCTCCCCTGCAACCGGGTTTGCGCAGGAACTCGCCGTGCCGAGCACCGCAACCGGCCTGGCTGCGGGGGCCCTGCCGGGCGGGCCTGGGGCGGCAGCGCCCCCTG